GAAAGAATTATTAGCTCACACAATTATAAAATTTTGAGAGACCTTCATGATAATCTAATACAAAATCATGATACAACCTGAATGGAAAAATCAACATGTGCAACTGCAGGACAGGATCAGAGTGCTAAAGTTGAAGGAACATGCAAAAAAAGAACACAATTTATGAAACAACAATTTTCCCAAAAAGAAAAGGTTGAATGAAAAATTTTTAAATTTAGGAATATCAGCGGGAGATTGGAAACACCGACTGTACAACCATCGCCATTTCTTAAAAAAATAAGTGTTGAAAAAGAACCAAATATTAACTATCAAAACATTAAATTATATTTGTTCAATGGCTTAATATATAAATAAAGTGGAAAATAATAATAAAGCCAGAACTCAAAAAAAAATCCAGAAGACAGATGAAATCTGAACTGTTATGCATAAAGGAAAAATCTTCTATATAATCAAACATAAAGATCCAGACATATTACTATATAGACACAATGAACTAGTTTTTTAAATGCCGGCACAAAACAATCAAAACCTAAGTAAATATTTGAGAAATAATATATAAGAAGAATAATATTGAAATTTTATCCCTTTTAATTTTGGAAATGACTTTATGCATTTGAACGCCAACACAAACTGTAAATATACAACTATGATATTTGTATTTGAACACTGATGCACCTGTTGATATATACATGTATATCTTTTTTATAAAAAAGAGGCATATTTTTTTTTTTATTTGAGTGTATTTGTAAAATTAGATGAGTAAATATATGTTTTACCATAGATATATGATTGCGGGTAACAAATGTGCAAAGATATTATAATTATGATAAATTTAAAATCCATAACGTAATTAAATATTGATATAGTCTATGAATGCAGGCATAAATGGGTTATGGGTGGAACATGAGGATAGAGACATGTACGTGTGTATATGGAAAATACGTTCATATTTGCATATGTATGTATGTATGTGGATAAATTGACATATGTATGTATATAGAATCATGTGTGTGTGTGTGTGTGTGTATGTATATATGTGTGTGTGTGTGTGTATATATATACATATATGTGTGTAAATGTATATGTGGTATATGCATGAATGTATATGTTTATATACAGGTGATTTAGGATTGTGTATATGTATATATGTGAGTATATGTATGTATAGATATGTATGTAGATATGTGGGTATGTGTTTTTTGCAGGTGTATATGTGGAAATACGGAATATACATATAGTTTTTCGTATGGAAAAAAAAGGTGTATATAAGGTTCATAAAATATATAGTGAGATATAGGTATTGGATATAGATATGGGGTTGGACATCAATCGTTGTATATGTGCATGGATATATAAAAGATTTTAAAAAGAAGGACCTAATTTTTCCTTTTAATATTTTATACAAATTTCTCCTCTAATATTCTCCAATTGGAAGTGAGTTTAAATAATATGGAGGTAATGTTTAAATTGGTATTTAAATTGAAAGAACCTTTATAATTATGTAGGTATATTAAAAAAAGTCATTGAGTTTAATCGATGAACAAAACTGAAACGCAATAGATGTCAGCTGAATAAATCAACTTAAGTTTATTTAATTAATGAACAAAAATCAAACGAATAGATGCCAACAACAATCAACAAGATACGAGTTTAGAAAAATAAAATGATTACTAAATATAAATTGGATTACTTTTTCAATGTACTCTCTTATGAGTTTTTCCAATCGACTATTTCATAGAAAATACCCAAAACTCCAACGAACTTCAAATTTAAATTTTCGTAGATTGTTTAAACATTTAAATTTTTATCAAACCTTAACCTCCCAAATATGACCTTTAAAGTAATGCGAATTAACAGCGTCTAAGATTTTGAATGAAACCTGCCCTCGTGAAATATAATTTATTAGGGTTGTTATAGCTTCTTTTTTTTTAATGTCAGTCCCTCTCCCCATTCTTACCCACCTATATCTAGAGACAATACGCGTTAGCCGACACACAGAAGGGGAATTTAAATAAGGAATTGAAATGGTATATCTAACCCACTCATATGTTATCTTTCTCTTTACCATACTCCCCTCACTTCGTTAATTTTAAATAGGCTTGATGCGGTCCGTCAAAAAACTGTAAATTTTTTTTCATTTTTCATTTCAACCTTTGGAAGTAAAGTCTGATGATCCAGAGCCCTGTTAAAGGGGTTTGGTGAAATAACTTATTACATGGAACCTTACTAAAGTGGTCTTTTTTTATTATATATATATATATATATATAAATAAATATATAGCACAATAGGTAACTACCCTTGGAAAATACGTAGAAAAAACAATATTTTTTATATTTCTTTAATGAGAGCTTTGATATTAACTCATATATAACACATATTTAGAAACTGATTAATTTCATTTTGAGTCATTATTAAATTATCAACTGAATCTATAGATTTAAGCGACAATAATAATGATTAAACAGTAATTAATTATGTTTTTTTCGTTATTTTTTACAGAACCTTGACAAGCATGCTGAATATTCATGTGAAACTGGCAAATTATCTGAAAACATTCGTAAGAATCGTTATAAAACATTATTACCCTGTAAGTATCCTAAGTCCTTTGAAGCTATCAGTCATAAATATTTAGATTATCTTTCTTCAATTTTACAACATTATGATGAACCAAGGCTAATGTAAAATTCTTGTAATGAACATTTTTCTTAGAAAATTCCTTCTGTTTAAAAAGAAACATTTTAATCATTATGCTTAACAGATTAAAGAAAAACAATCAAGAAATATGTAATAGAACCCTGCCTTTAAATGATGTGTATTATGCTAATCATGCAAACCTTTACAAATAAGTTTAATCTTACCAATGTGCTTTACTATTGGGAACTTGTGCCAGATTAAATACAGTTTAGGCTTTTTTCTATATTTGTAAACATTTGATAAAATCCTAATTTATATTAAACCATTAAATGAGTTTATTCTTCCCAAAGTATATAACTCTTATAGCTTATATGGATAAGAGCATTACTTTTATCAATTGAAGTTTTGAGTTTAAATTCTGAATTATGCACTGTAATAGAATTAGGCCAGTAAAAAAATATAAAAAAGAAATAAATATGATATTTACAATATCTGAAATGAAAAGACATGACAAATAAACAAGAACAATATGTTTTTTGTATGAAATAAAGCATTTCATTCTATATTTCCTGAAGATTATTGGATACAACAAATATTTGAGAAAGGCTTGATAGTATATTGGTTGAAAATATTCTGATAAAAAAAATATGATGAAGATAAAAGTATCATATTACTTATTATAAAACGCAGATTGTGTGTGTGTCTGTACGTTTATATATTGGATCGGATTTCCTACATTTTTCAACCGATTTCAACAAAACTTCACAGGACTACGTAGAATTACCTTGCGGTGGTTCTAATAGCGCCAAAAATTGGAAAACCACAATTGTTTTTGCACAAAATCAATTTGAAAACACGATTAAGAGGCATTAATGAAAGGGGGACAACTCATATCGAGTTATACAACTAATATAGAGTTATACTTATTATAAAACCCAGGTTGTGTTGTGTGTGTGTGTGTGTGTGTGTGTGTGTGTTCATTTATATATGGGATCGGATTTCCTACATTTTTCAACTGATTTCAACAAAACTTCACTTTTTTGGCAGGTAGTGTTTCTTATTGTTTTGCACACTTTTTTCTTTATTTTTACATTCAAAATGCTTTAAAAATTCCATTTACAAGACAATTGTTTATAATAAAATTCTATTCAATCGGTAGACTCATAATGATTGAAAACAATGTTTTTGTTTGAGTTTGGGTTTGACCAATTCGTAAAAAAAAAAAGAATAAACAAAAACAAAAAAATAAAACTAATTAAGACATGCGTGTCCGTCAACCTTAAACAATAATCTTTGTCAATTTTATTTTTCAGTCTTTATGATGGTCAATACTTGATCTATCTCTTACTGTTACATCCCCGGGCAACGCCGGGCTCTACTGCTAGTTATTAATATTATCCATTAAAAAACGTCATGGTAAGCTTGATTGATACTTCACCCTGGTTTTGAGTGACCAGGAATTGTGAAAAATAGTATTTTACTATTTTAAAAATTTAACTCCAGTTAAATTTTAAAAGCATAAAGTAAGTGAAATATACAGTTTTAAATGTATGCCATATGCATGACATTATAACATAATAATAAGAGTATTAAATAATTGTGTCAAAATTAAGAATTAGTAACAGCTTTAATATTGACACACCAATGGTTACAAAATACAAACTTCAAACTAACACAAATTGTTCCCTGAGCATGCTTGCCACTCAAAATATACTACAAGCAAATAGTGGAACTGTCTTGTGCTCAGTCTTGTGCTTCAGGAATGCCAGAGGACTGCTATTGAATACTTGTTGGATATTTCTGTCACTCACTGCAATGAATACTTTCTAAGAATGACCATTTTTCCTTGCTATAATAATAAATCCAGAAGACATTAATATTCTGTAAATCACTCAGCATAGATTAGGAGAAAAGCAACTTTGAATTCAAAACCATTGTTGCGGAAATGAAGAATGGGTAACCTGGAAGACAAAACTTGTCACTGTTGTTGTTATTGATGTAGAGGTAATTTCTTCTTTGCCTCAACAAATGTGAATTCAAGGAAAAGGAATACATTGGATTTTGGGTAAATAAATGTATAATTTATTTGCATATATACAAAGATAACAAACTACTTCCTATTGCTGTTGTAAAGTCAACACAGTGGGAGAGGAAGAAAGAAAGAGAAAGGGAAGGAGAATGACTGTTAGTGGCTATTGGTTGATGTTCTGTGAAGACAGTGGTGTTGAAAGTTGAAATTGAGAGCATCCTGTTCAGTGTGCCTGTTACGTCCTCAGCCAGCCTCTGCGTGACAAGATCTTAGCGGGGTCTCTGACCTTTGTAGTGTTGAATTGAGGAATTTGTATCAGTCATATTAGCTCCAAATCACAGTTTGGGTCTTTTAATAGGAGTCATTTTTACTGGCCAATATATAATTGATTTTATTTAGTTTAATACCAAAAAGATGCATCCAGCTATGATGCGCAAAGACACATTTTCACATTCTGCTTTAGGTCATCAACATCCGGCTTATATAGAGAAGTGTAAGAGACATGACACCATGGAGGAAGAATTGGGTCTCCATCCCACTATCATTCCAAGAAGTCATGGTAATTCACAAATAGTAAAGAAAAGGAAGCTGTGGAGAGTCATGATCACCTATGTACTGAAGAGATATGCCACTAAAAAATTAACTAGCTTAAGACTATAGTAGTGAAAGTCAGAGTTGCTATAAGATTTACTAACAATGGGTTGTGAAACTAGATTTCAAAACACTGTTTCACATAAAGCATCCAAAATATAGCAGATACTTATTTGCTTAGTCTAACCCATGATCACAATAGTCAGTCACCTTGTGAGAACTGAACTCTATAGCAAGAATGTGTTTGTGTATTTTGTGAAAATTCATTTTAGAAAAATATATCAATTTTATAATTGGTAGAAAGAATTAAATGCAGAGATTAAAATAATTTTTAGATGGCTTTTTATGTTTGACCACTTGCTTTTTTCATCTACTACTTCATATGTATCCATGTAGAGGAAAATATTTACCTGTAAAAGAATAAAAGAAAAACTTCTTGCAAGAATGAACCTGCTGGAGTCAACGTGTGGCAATCACACTTTAGTACAGATGCAAAAAATGCCCTGAATCTCATGCAGACATATTTGTCAAAACAAGTTACATCTGGCTTTTCTCTGTTTGCAGTAGAACAGCTTGGCATGTCCAGATACAAACCTCTCAGCAACTTGTCTAGATCTGGGTTGTCAACTGTCTCCTGTCAATAAAAGTGACAGGAAAAGCAGCATCAGCAGTGGGCAGTTGGCAAGACTCAGTGTTTTGTGAAGTTGTTCCCTTGCACAGTTTGTTCCTCAAGTTGCATACCATGCTGTAGTTTCTGAGGCAGTGTTATTTTTTTCTTTCTGTCTCTTTCCCTTCTTTGTCTGTTACCCCATAGTTCTTGGGAAAGCAATCAGTTAGGTGTTTCCCCCAGTCTCAACACACCCTTGCAGTATTTTACATGCAATTTCAGCATACATTGCAGACAGCAAGTTTAACCTGATGCTAATCCCTGGATTTGATGGTTCAGACCAGGACTCTCAATCGTTGAATAGTTTGAAAAGGCTGTGATCTGTGTGGCATGAAGAACATTGACAATGTTCTGCCACTCAGATAGATGGGAGGTGCACTTTCTGTGTTGCAGCAAGTCGACAATGAAGGCAGAAAAGTTGTAGATTGTATCAGGGACACTCTGTACATTGCCTTTGTCACAGACCCATTTGTAGCATATGACCAGTTTGTAGCTAGGTGATTGAATTCAAATTAATCTGTGGATGTCTAATTGGCAGACCTCCATGGACTATCAACCATGTATGGTGGAGTGTCTGATCATGGACTTGAGTGCACATTTGTAGCAGGATTGCCAGATCACATCAGGCAGCTGCTTTGTGCTTCTTCTCGAATAGGAAAATTGAGAACTGACAAAGAGACAGTTGTACATTGCTGTCACTGTGACAAACTAGGCCATACATTATGAAAATGCCTAGATAAATGGATCAGGGGAACAAACATCAGCATCAGTCTCATTCCCCACACAGATTTAAATGCAAAGATGATTGTACTCAGCATATTCATTGACAGGGAATGGTGTCACCTCTAATTGACTCTGCCTGCTGTTTGCACAGACAGTACAGATATTAACAGTCCCAATACCTCCGAGGTTGAAGTAATTATGGTGCATGACAAACATTTACAGTTTGACCTGCTTGCCATAATTAACAACATAACGGCATTAGGTGGCATCAATATCACATAAACTGGAGTTGTACACTTTTGCAGCAAAGAACCACCAACATGTGTGATGATCCATATTGATCAACCTGACTTTTCTGTAGCATTTAACCACCAGCAAAGGATCTGAACGGCAAAATGAAAGTGGACAGCAGCTGTGGTGCCGGCCCAGTTGCATAATGAGGTGTTGGAGTACCCAATCTCCAAATGACATTAAGAATGCTTATGAACAAGATCTCCAGACATAGATCACCAATGGTTGGCTAATACCATACCCTGAAAAGAGACTGGGGCCACCCAAGGGCTTAATGCTATTAATAGCAGTCAGCAGCACAACAAAGGAAAGGTGCACCCAGTGGTATACAGTCACAAGCTCAATGAACACACTGATACATTCACTGCGAATGCAAATGTTTGTATGGCCAAACTGCAAAAGTTGTACCAACAAGGGATGAATGTGGTCATTCTATACTTACAAAAAGTGTATCTCCAAGTACACATCTATACGTTATTGTGGCCATATCAAACTGTATCAGCAACAGGAAAAAGTTCTGCCTAACATAGTTGGGAGACAGCCTCAATGTGGCATCTCTAGTCCTGAAATCCATTATTGACACTGCGATCACAGGAGGAGTCATTTGGGAGAGCAATGTCAGCATACATTGATGATGTGTAAGTCCATAAGAGTATCTTGTTTGCAGAAAATGCCAGGACAAAATTGACCAAGTACGGGCTGATGTGGAAAGACCCAGAACGTTTAAAGTATGGCACTCCTGTGCTCACACTGGAAGTCTAGAGTAAGTATAACACTCTGCGATGGACAGAGGGAAGTGCAATGCCAGATGTCCCTGATGCTCTGACTCAGAGGAATGTCTTCTCACTGTGCAGGAAGATGGTGGATCATCTCCCGTATGTGGATGGCTGTGTGTGGTGACCAGGTTCATCAAGCTGTGGGCAAATGCAGTCACAAAGGAATGGGATGAACTATTTGACAACATCTCCACCTCAAGCAGAATGTGAAGGAAACCATAGACAAAGTGCAACAGGAAGACCCTGCCCCAAGTAACTGGTGTGTAAATGGAGCTGAAATCAATGTATGAGTCAATGCAATCTCCTTAGTGACAGGAATGAGGCTAGAAAAAATGGTGCAGCGTTGGGGGATATATGCTGGCTTCAGCCAACAAAAAACTCCCAACACATCAACTTGGCTGAACTGGATGCTGCAATCAAAGGCCTCAACAAGGCCTTCCAGTGGTAGGCCAGTTGTAGGCAAAGAGTTTCTGCATAAAAACTAATTCCTAATGATGGAATTTGAACACAAAGATGGAACTGGTTCAAGAATACAAGTTGTCTGTTGATATAGTGCTGGTCATGTCAAACCAGAACTTGGCAAACAAAATGACCTGCATACCCCAAAGGTCGTTCGATATAGCCAAAACGGGGGCTGAAACTGTACAGAGAGTGTGTGCTGCTTCCCTGGAAACCATGTGTTCTAGTCAGATAATGGAAGTACATCGACACAGTGAGCATCCAAGAGTGTGATATACCATATATTTTGTGAGGAGAGTTTGTCCTTGCATGTCAAAGACCATGGTAAAGTTTGCCATTGGGACCCGTGTGGAGTAGACATTAGATGCTATGCCAGTCCATTTGCAAAAGTGCAGACTGGGAGTGAACCGTACTTGGTACCGGCTCGGCATGGTCATCACACACTACCATGGCAGCCATTATCTGACACTAACAGACTATAGCCCATCACATTTTTCTATGTGGTGGCTGTTACCCTGCCAAAACTCATTGAGTATCATACATTAACTGGAGTTGCTGTTCTGTGAGTGGAAACCACCTTGTGAGCTACTCACAAATAATGGCACTGCAATCTGTAGCAGGAAGTTCTCAGCCTTCACTGAAGGATGGGACATTAAACTAGCAATTCTGATGTGCAGATGTCCTGGCAGGTAATGGAATAATAAAATGGTGTCACAGAAGTGTTAAGAGGATTCCAGCCAGAATAAAATATACTGTCAGGGGCACATACTGGTACAAATTAACTGCCCAAAGATGGCACCTCACCACTGACTGTACCCACAAATCAAGTCTACAGATACAAGGTTTGGCTTAAATTGATTCAGTACCTCTAAAGATGTCTGTGTTAAGCCACAAAGTGTACAATGTGGGAGATCCTGTGTGGGTAAAAGCCCAACACAACTGGAGTGTACAACAACACTCAGAATGGGAATAATTACTGGACTTGTTAAAACGCAATCAGTTTTGCTCATCAGGATGCTATGCCATGTTTGGGACATTGAACTTTGCTGAGTTCATGATCTTCAACAAGTATTGAAGATAATATGTCCAAGAGTGAGGAAGAAATACTTGTGGGTGTGGATAGGCCAGATGATCCCACAGAGGAAGGGTCATATATGGACAAGGTGGAGGAACACAAACCAGTCCCACTTTGAAGAAACACTTGATTGAAGAGATTCATTTTAAGCTGTCATATCTGTGATTAAGAGAGAGTGTGGTGAGCATGCGTCAGTACAGACACAAAAGAGATCCCAAATTGCATGTGGACATGTATGTCAAAACCAGTTACATCCAGGTTTTCCCTATTAGTGGCAGAAAAACAGAAAAAGAAGAGTAAAGGTGGAGATATTTGAGGAAAAAATAAAGAGAAGGACAGGGATTAAGATCAAGTCATCAGAAGTTGATTGACATTACATTTGAATATTTGAGGATTATAGTTATCAGGGAAGCAAATAGAAGGAAGGGAGTTTCACTGCCAAGAAGTATGAGAGAAGAAGCTGTTGGAGTAGAAGAGGTGGTTACATTTAATTGTTTCAACAGTGAAAGGGTGGGAGAGATACCAATGTAGCAGTACGCTTAGATTCATGCAGTTGGGGAACCAGTGAAAATAGCTTGTCAAAGCAGTTACCATGAAAATATTTGTAAAAAAGACAGAGGGAAGCCACATCATGTCTGTGAGAAAGTGACTGGAGTCGAGATGCCAGGTCAGGACCTATCACATTGCATATCCATCTTTAGATTTTGTTGACGAACATCAGGGGCACCAGACCATATATGGCAACAGTATTTAATACAAGGATGAAAGATAGATTTGTAGATTAAAAGGATAGACTCAGATGAGAAAAACCTTCTGGTGTGACACAGAGAACCAACTTGCCTTGCAGTAGATGAAGCTATTGATTCAATGTAGCTGTTCCACCTCAGGTCAGTTGAAAATGTGAGACTAATAAGGTGCAAAGAGATGCTTTTAAATAAGAGCAGTTTCATTTTGGAGGCATTAAAATTTATAAGCCATTTCTTGCTCCAATCAGCCACATATTAGAAGTCCTTTTCCAGGCCAACAGCCAGGTTAACTTTGTCAGCAATGCCAGATTTACTATTTAGACAGGAGTAAATGGTAGTGTCATCTGTGTAGATGCCTACTTGAAAACTGATGACATCAGGAAGATCATTGATGAAGATCACAGTGTAGGACCAAGGATAGAGCCTTAGGGAACACCAGCATTTGTATGAAAGGAACTGGAAGAGAACCTGTTTAGGATAACACAGTTTGACAGAAGTGATTGGATTAATCAAATAATCATCCTGTAATACCATATCCCCAAAGCTTATAGGAAGGCCAGCATGCCAAAACCTATCAAACACCTTAGAGATATCTAGAGCCACAGCTCAAGCTTCACTGTTATCAAGAGCTTGGTATACAAATTCAATTATAGCCATAAGTACATCAATGGTAGACCAGCCAAAGTGGAAACCACATTTTTTGTCAGAGAGATCATGGGAGGTAAAGTGCTTAATTACTTTGGCATTGATTAAAGCCTCAATGACTTTGCCAAAGAATGGTAGGAGACTGATAGTACGGTAGTTCATAGGTCAGAAGGGTCTCCAGAATTCTTAAAAACAGGGACAACAGATGAGGACTTCCAATGCTGTAATTTACATAACAGCAGTTCACAATAAAATCAAATGAGAGAGAGAAAGCAGAAATAATATATTTTGTATACATATGGCTTACTTTTTGATTTGAATCTCTACTGATTATCTGTTTTTTGTGCATGACGTTAAACTTGGTATTGACTTTGTATGAGCTTTAAAAAATTCTTGATACCTACCAACATCAGAAAATGGTCCAACTCTCATCTTTTTTTTTTAAATGTGGAGGTATCATCTTTATAATGGAACCTCAATGCTAACTTTGGGACTTTTACTTAAAAATGAGAGCTTATATCCCAGTTTGGTCCATAATTTCTATTCTAGAAGCCTTTAATAAAATTTAAATATTATCCTTTCTACAGAAACAATGGTAATATCAAAAGGTACATGAAACTTTGTATTTTCCATTCTAATCAACAATTGTTTTTTTTATTTTATTTTTAGATGATTATTCCCGTGTTGTTTTGCACAGTGATGGAACATCAAGTGCAGATTATATTAATGCCAGTTACATCAATGTAAGTTGTTTCTCCTTTAAATTTCATTTTATTTTTACACTATCAAGAAGGCTTTCCTAATATTTCAATAAAATCTTCAGTTGAAAGGATAACAAACTTAATCTATTATATAAAAATTGAAGTTGACTTTGTGTCCATTTCATGTAAAAGTGTTACAAGGCATAAAATTCATTTGTTTTTTTTAATCAGAAATGTGTGTGAGTTTATGTGCATATTTTATGGTTTTCAACAGGAAATGCATTTGCATAATTTTCAGGAATAAAATATTTTGGCTATAATTACAAACAAGAAGGCAACAGGATTAAAGAATTTCAGAAAAAATATAAATTTTGTGAGGTTCATTCAGTTGAATATAAATGTAATAAAAGTCTATTGATAGAGAGTCATATCAACTAAGTGAGAAAACATGGCTCCTCATTTACTGAAAGAATAAAAGAAAAGCCCAATGACATTAGAAGAATAGTATTTGATAAATAGATTTTGAAAAATGCAGTATCAAAGATTAATCATTACTTTCTTTATTAATAATCTTTATTAACAATGTTTAAAAACTGGAATATTGCTTTCTAAATAGAATGACACCATTTCTTAACATCTGTGATTTCCAAAATAAGCTGGATGAAGGCCATAAAAGAATAATTATGGAAAATTACATATGCTAAAATTTAATCACTAGATTTTATGCAGATGAAATTCAATCATTTTATGCCTGTTGTCTTTTCCATTGTAAACTACTTTTGTTCTAGAGAGCTTAAACATAGATTATTTAAAGGTTTTCTTGAAGAGTTAGATGCTGAATATAGTGACTTGTCATATAATATAGAAGTGTGATAGTTCCACTGATAAAAGGTGCCACAGTATTTTGTAACTCTCAAAGAGAAAATATTTCTAAAACATGTACTAAAAATATTTCAAGTGCTTCAGGTAGTACATTATAAATCCTCAAAATAATCTTAATATTCAGCTAATTTTTGAAAAGATCTACTAAGAATATTTTTTTTGGAATATAAGCTTGAAGAGATACCACAAAAATATCAAAAGTAACTCAATCTGTTTCATGAAGACATTAATCTTATTAAAATGAAGATGAAACTTGTTTCATTTTAGCTTTGAATATTTTTAGATGTGTTCATGCATCTCTATAACTTGCTTCATAAAAAAACATCCCCAAAAAAGCATATACATAGTTTTTAATGTTTTTTTTCCAGTGCTATTTTATTTACAGATATTTTATATTTTTTAAATATGTATTAAAATTGACAAAAACAAATGATTATCTACCATTTTCAACACACAAGTGATTCTGTTAAACTTTACCATTGGCACCCATTCCCTATATCACTTATAAAGGTTCACACCCCTGTCCATTCAATGTAATAAAACTTGTACCAATCTGTTTTTCAGTAAGAAAGGTTAGTATTTAATTTTTTGATACATTTCCTCACACTTCTTTAGCTTTGACTCATGGTTATCTGATAATTTTATTTTTTATTTTAGATATTCAACATTTTTTAATGTGTTAGAATTTTATATGATAAAAAATGTTAATACTAGTGACATGGATTTACAGCACATCTGATCTGATGACAGCTTATGTGATGTTGCTAAATGAATCTAGGATTTAAATTTGATAATGTGACCTAAAAAATGCATGATGCTAACTCATATGACCTATAAAAAATATTATGTGTTAATTAGGTGCTGAGTTTTAATAAACCTTAAATATTGAAATGCCTAAAAAAAATACCCAGATTCTAAAAGCAAGGATATTTGGGGTAAATTACGAAAATCTAATTCTAAGCCTTTCTTCTCACCACTCCATCCCAAAGATAATTGGTGCATGCTTATCCATTATCAAGAACAATGCACAATAGCTCATGATATAATTACTAACAATTATTTTTTTTTGTTTCAGGTAGGAGACAATTACATTGCAACACAAGGTATGGACATTTTTATTATCTATATATGAAAAACTGAATAAAAGAAACTATTTTAATAAAAATATTTTTAAAAATAAATATTTAAATATGCTTACTTTTAAAATTACATCCATTTTTAAAATGACTGAATTTACTTTTGAATATGATATTTAAAATTTCATTGTCATGTTCAGTGAAAATTCAACAGCCATTATTTGGGTTTTACTCTTGTGACAAAACTTACATTGTAATTGATAAAGATAATAACCACAGCATAAATTTTAATATATATTTTGATCTTTTCATTATCCAGAAATATAATTGCAATAATTATTGGTGTATATCTAATATTTCAATTTATTTTTATTTGTGATGAATAATATATGCTTGTTTAGGCAATTAATGAACAAAATGAAAATTAATCAGGATTTTCATATTATGAAAATTTTAACATGATCAGAGCTAATCATTTACTTTTTTAGTATTAAATATATTGACATTAATATTTGATATTAAAAGCAAGCTTTGAAACATAGTTTTTCATGAAACATTGTGTTTTTCATTCCATTCTGTATGATCTTTATCTTCAGTTTTGATTTTCTTTTTAATTCATCTCTTAATATATTCTATTATTTTTAGCATCTCTTTTTCTCTTTGTTTCTAAGGATTCCTTGACTTCTCATAGTGGATTTCATTTTACATTCAGATTTACTATTTTGCCTTCACTTTCTTTTAACTTCTAACATTTCCCAGTTTCATTTCATTTTACAATTTTTATCTTGATATTTATCATTATATTTTGATTCCACTTTTATAAAAAAAAAAAAACTCTCTATCCTTCTCTTCTAAGATATTTATTCTATTTCATCATTTTTATTAATCAAACCAATCTCATACCTATTAATTTTTTTATCTCTCTGTAGACAGAACTAACCAACTATTAAATTTATTACATATAATCTTTAATCCTTAAAAAAAATCATAATATTTTTATGCTTGGCAGAGATCAAGTCACTAACACTCACTAATTTGTTTTGTTTAAAACATTGTATGTCTCTGATTTGAAATGTTTCCATCTTTTGTATGAATGTAAGTTAATAAATCCAACTTAAAACATCCAATAAAATACATTGAATTTGATATTGGGAAATCCTTTTATCAAACTATGATAATGAAATATAAAACTAGCATCACCATCTTTGTTGTTTTGATCACTGCCTCTTGGTTCCTGTCTTCCAACAACTTCTGAAGAATTTCAAACAGTACCTCTTATTTCCCTCTGAATTTTTCATCTTTCTGTTTATTGTCAATTATTGTTTCTTTTGAAGAATTGTGAGACAAACTTTAGCAAGTGAAAAGGTTGTGAATTCAATGCCTAACAAGATATTAGAGTTGGCAGCATGTGAAGAGTACACCAACATAAATACTGTGATCAGGATACCAAATATGACAATGTGAATTTGATCAATTTCTGACTTGGTAATAATACATAATCTCTGAATTTCAAAATGACTATCATGAAAGAGCTGCCAATTTTGACAATCACTTTTTTAAATTGTGAGTTGGTTTCTAATATATATGAGATTATTGCATCAGTTTAGGAAGAGTTAAATATGTTTGAGAATTCTACTTGACCTATTAATCACTTTCTATGTACCTGAACTTTAAATTTTAGGACCTTTGGAAGGAACAATCGAGGATTTTTGGAAGATGATTTGGCAAGAAAAATGCAACACAATTGTTATGTTAACTGAAATTATGGAAAATGGAAAGGTAAAAAAAAAAATCTACCTATTCATTTGAATAAGTTATGTATTTGACACCTAATATGCAAAACATATACTAGTACATATGTAAACACTGCATGTGCAACCAAAATTATACAGACATTATAGAAATTATAAGCACTTTCAGAAAGAGAGTCTTATTACAAACATCAACAAATGTCTGTCTTGTAATTCTACAATAATTCTCTCTGATTGTTGTAGAGTTGATTATGTATAAATTTGTAGGTATTTTTTTTCTTTAACATTTTGAACTTTTACAGTATCTTTTAAACCTTTGCTTTTCTATTGATCATTGTGCATTTCTGAGTTTGAAATATTTTTTTTTAAATTTTCATCTTAAAGCTGGCATCATACATTCACTATACACTTTATGCTTTTCATCTTGTCTCTATTTTAGTAACATGTTTTTTTTTCCAACCAATCATTATGTATTGTTTTATTTATTTTTAATGATCTTTCACCAATTTTATTTGACCTAAGTTGTTGTATTGTATTCCTTATCCTCATCCAGATCTTGTGGAGTTTTGCTTCTCATATTCACACTGACTGGAAAATATAACCATAATATCACCTCACCAACTTGCAGCACCATTTCAGTAACAATGCTGTTGTTTCCAGGCAATTTCCAAATATTCATCATTTATATAGCTTTCATTATTTCAATTTGATTGATTATATATATATATATATATATATATATATATATATATATATATATATGTAAATATATCTACACAGACACACACACACACACACATATCCATTTATTTCCATTGATAATTCAAATTACTCCTCATTGTCTTTGAAGCTGATTAACCTTTTTGGATCTTTCAATGCATGCAATGACTTGAATGGAACTCATCACATGAAAATTTATTCAAGGTTGACATTAAATATTTTTGGAAGGAAAAAGAAAGTTCAGAACACAATGTTATATGCCTAATTTTGTCTTTTATGGCTTAAACTTATTTTGGCAAAACAAGTGACAAGTCTTTCTTTCCAACCATTTTACATATAATTTTTTAAATTAAGTCATTCCCATTTTTGTAAAATTTGTGAATAAATATTTTTGATTTGATTATATAACGAAAATCAAATTTTTCTCTAAATGTTTATATAAAATTACATTTTTCATTTCAATAAATTCTGCTACTGAATTTTTTTTTCCTTTTGCTATTGTTTTCAGTTGAAATGCTGTGTCTACTGGCCAAAACTGAATGAAATAGAAAATCATGGAAAATTTCAAATCCAATGTGTTCAAGAGAAACATTCCATGGTCTATATTTACCGAATTCTGGCAATCAAGAAGGTAAGAAATAATGCCAAGAACTATTTGAGGCTTGAAGGAAAATTAATGATTCACTCTTGAACCTCCAAGTAATATTTCAAATCCCAAGTCACAAAAAGCAGAAGTTAATTTTTATATCTGCTTAAAGGTCACAAAAAGAGAGTATTATGCTTGATGTGAAGCCACTTTCTATTTATAGAATTCGTATTATAATTACTGACAAATAAATAAAAGGAACTACTCTGCAGTTAGCAAAAACTACTTTTAAAATGACAAGTTAACTTTATATTTACATATACTAATCCCTAATCAGCAGGAGTGTAATGTTATATGATTTTTGAACATACATGCTTACATTATTTGCACTATATATTGACTATTGTCATCATTTTTATTGATGAGAATAATAGTCCTAATATAAATAGTGTAAATAAGATAATTCTTCATTCCTTAAATTCAGACAAAAGAAAACATGTTTACAATTTATTTTCTTTTTGTAACAATTTTGAAATATTCATGATGAAATGGAAAAGATATGAAAAAAGATATGAAATTGATAATAATTTTGCATGGATAAGTAGATTAATGAAATGAGTTATTTTGTTAATAAATTTTATTTCAACATACGTAATCAGCATATTTTCTTTTTTTTTTGTGGAGGTGGAGAAATAAAGGTATTTTTTTAATTAGTTATCTTTACATTTCTTTTCATTTTTTAAAGTAGATGCTATTTTCATTTCAGCTTTTAAACACCAATAAAAAAATTAAATCATTATCAATGTGAACATAAATGCAGACCAAATACTATTATTTTTAAGCTCTAAATTAGACTGCAAGTTGCTTTATTTTTTGTATTAGAAACATTTTAAAGGTATTGTTCTAACAAAAACCATTCTATGAAGTGCTGTTTTTGTTTTATTACAGTAACAAACAAAATTATAAACATAAACAGATTTTAGCTATACACTACCACTTATTCATCAATGTCGATTTCCATGCAAAAAAGCGGATCACATCTTCATACATGTTTCTGGAATAATTTTAATATTTATTGTCCAATAATAAATTGGACAATAAATATTAAAATTATCTCGTATATCTTCACATACATTGTTCTCAATAAGCAACACATAACATATCAGGCTCCAGACTGAGTTTTGTAAGGCGCTTTCTAAGTGGTTAACAAATATTAAAAAAACAATTTACCTGCTCACCACTACGTCCGAATAACATCAACCTAGTTTTTGACCTGACGAAAAAAGAATGCTCTCAGGATCCTATCACGTGATTAAAAAACATATAAATTGAAGGTACGTGCGAACCCAGTCAGTGAGAATTTACAACATTTTACACCGTTTCTTGTCTGACCGTTTATTCTGTCTTTAGGAGGATTACATTTGAACTTTTTGACTGCCCTAATTTAGCTAAGTTTTGATTTATTTTACCAGTTTTCTAACTTTTTATTTTTCAACTTTTTGTTCAATTTCCATTTTTTTCTAACGTTCTTATTTTGACCATTTGATTTTTTCCTTTTCATTTCCTTTCCCTCTTATTTACCGTTACTTCATTTTTGTTATTAGTTATTTCTTCTCTATTTTTTAATTAATTTTACGTTTTACTTTTTCCTTGTTAAATCTATTTTCTTCCCGTGCCCACACCCTGGAGTTTATCTGTTTATTTTTTTTCTCGTCCGACCTTTTTCTTCTCCTTTTTTTTTTTATTTATCTATTTGTTTTTATTTTTATTAGTCTATTTATTTTATCTGTTAATTGTGTATTAATTTTTGTTTTTTTTATTTTAATTTCTGTCCTCCTCTATTTTTCCTTATTTAACGTTTTTGTTTGTTGGGTTACGTTTTTTCTGTTATTTAAGTGTCACATTTTTTAGTTTGTTTATATAATATTTGTTTTAGTTTTATTTTGTAATTTCTGTCCTTCCTGTTGTTTTTCCTTCTTTTTCGTTTTCGAACCTTGTTCATTTTCGTTTTCCATTTGTTTCGCGCGTTTAGCCATATTTGTGTAATCTTTTGTCCTTCTGTTTTACTTTTTGTTGATCTCTGTTTGTATTTTATTTTGTAATATACGTTTTCTCTTTTATTTTTCTCTCCCTTTTCCGTTTATGTTAAGCCAAATTTAAAAATGGAAAAAGGATTATAAAAAGGCAAATTTATCGGATTATAAAGCATCTTTTCAACCCTAAAAAAAAGACCGCCCGGACAAAGACAATCAAAATGAATTTCCTGCTCTTGAGACCACTTCCCCTAGCGACATTGAAACCGCTGGGAAAAAAGTAAAAGAAAATGAAAAAATTAATACTATGGAAGCCAATAATGGCAATAACAACGAAAAAGAAAGACCTATGGAGGCCAATAATGGCCAAAATTCTGAAAATGTTAAAGAAACCAGAAATGAACCGCAAGATAAGCCTGGGGCCGGGGAATCGCCCTCTTGTTGGTCGTCCCCACCAAAGTGCGTAATCAATTTAGCGGAGTTCTTGGAGCGTGCCAAGAGTTACGCCCACCTTGTTGTAGAAGGTGGACTCTTGGAAGACCCCCAAGAATTAAAGAAAATTGAAAAAAGAATAGTGTCAGTTTTCGTCGTGGACAAGCGTACACGCAAAATTTGTCACTCGACGAAAAACACAGTTTTTGAAAGCACTAGAATCCTTCGGGTTTAAGCCCCTTAGAATAGTTAAGGGAGCTAAATTTTTCATGTGGGACGTACTGTTGCCCACATCAGAAGACTGCGTCGCCGCGAGCTAATAAATAAAGAGTTGATACTGCGGACGGAGTACGAAGGCCGACGAAGGACCAGGGTAACAGTATACGAGGTCCCACCTCAGGTTATCGGGTTCTTCTCCCAGTATGGCGAAATTCTGAGAGCTTCCTGTGATAGCTTGGGGGGGGGGAGCTTTGACATCATGCTGGACGAGAAAGCCTTCTGCTCCATCCACAACTGTCTGGATGTTGGTAGCTTGAAGTTACCGGTCATTGTGACGGGTCAAAGACCGGTATGCTGGAGGTGTGGAGTGATTGGTCATCTCTCCTCCTCCTGCCCAGAGAAGACGGCCTCTGGAAGTCAAGCTCCAGTTGTTAAAGATCCCCCTCTGACAGCGTCTGTAGATTCCGCCTCGCCTGTAATGGGCGTACCAGCCTCCGGGACCGGGTCGGTTAATCCTCCGGTTGGCGTGTCATCAAAAGCCACATTCCCCAAAGAGCCTTCGCCCGCTGCCAGTGCAGTTGTGGAGAAGGGGGAGGGGGAATGGCTGGTTGCTGGTAAGGCCAGAGGGAAGCGCCGGACAGCGGGTCCTCAGTCCCCTGAAGCCCCAAGGAAGAAAGGCACTTACAGCCCCACTCCCTCTAGCAACGTTAAGGGTGATGCCCCGGCCTCTGAACTGACACTCCAAGAAAAGCAAAAGAAATTTGACCCGGGATACGAAAAGACTGAGAAAATTAAAGAGTTGAAGAAGCAATTAGATGCTAAAAGAAAAGACCCTATCCCTTCAACGTCCTCTGCTCGACCCACCCCTTCAAAGAAACAACCTTCGCCTGTGATATCGCCATCCAAATTCTCACCCCTCAGTAGAGATCCCAGCCCCTATAGACATAGGTCTTTCTATACCCTTCTCCATACACCCACTCCCTCCCCCGTTAAGCAAAAATCCACTCCCCTTTGTACCCTCAGTCAATCACCCGTAAAAAAAACGATATGCCACCTCCCGCTTCCAAGCGTCTAAGAAGCCCCACCCGAGAGCAAAAGGAAAAAAAGAAAAGACTAATTTTCAACACTGGAGAGGAGGTGTGCCATATTTCCCCAGCCCAGGCCGAGAGAGCCCGGGATTATGGGAACAGGTTAAAGGACCTGAAATACTTGCTCTCCATCAAGCAGTTTGCGGACCTGGATATAGAGGTTCCGCAAAACTTCCCTAATGCTCAGAGAGTCCTGACGGTAATAAGATCAGGACCTGCTGCTAAACAGATTTGGGCCATGGTTGACGAAGCCATCAATGCTTATAAGATGGCTTTACCCATTGCTATAACTGAAAATGATCATTTGAAAAATTTAAAACAGTTCTGTGCAGGGAGGGTCCCCGTTTTAGTTCACCCCTCCCTATATAGAGCACTTAAATTGACCTTCCCCTGGGATATCGGCGGTATCTCCCAAGACGGCACCATCAAGACTGAGATGGGCCATGGGTCTATGGGAGAGGCGGTCGGTATCCTTACCCCGTCCATGTTCAAACCAGTAGTTCAACCCTAATCAGGCTTCACTATGGCTCTCTGGTTAGCTAGTGTAAATGTCCGGGTCCTGAGGTCCGAGTCTCGCAGGGCGAGGTTCTCTCGTGACCTTCAGCGCCTCGGGGTGGATGTGGGTTGTGTGCAAGAGACCCGGTTTTCTTCTCATGACTGTGAGAACATTCTGTCTGGGGGTTCGCCCTTTATTCAGCATGTTTTGATGGTCGTTCGAGGGGTGTCTCTTGGCTAGTGAGCAGGTCTTTGAAGGCTGCATGTACCCTTGTCTTCGCGGATCCGGCGGGCAGGCTTTGCGTGCTGGATGTTACCATAAAGGATAAGGCTCTACGTCTCATTGGGGTTTATGCGCCCAATATCCATGCCGAGCGGCCTGCTTTGTTTCGGCAGATCGCGCCGTACTTGACGACGTCTCGTCGGGTAGTTTTAGCGGGGGGATTGGAATGCCGTCCTTGACCCCGATATAGATCGTATAGGGCAAAGTCAAGGTACTAACAACCCGGACGTGAAACCATTTCGGGGCTTTATCGATGAGTTGGTCTCGTCGATAAGTACCGGGAATGAACACCCTCGGGAGGTAGCATGGACTTGGACTAATAGTGGCAACTCGGCTCCTGGCACGCTTGCGAGCTACCTGGACCGAGTCTTAGTTAGGAGAGTCGATGTAGGGCTCTTAGGGTGTCCAAGCTTCCACTATATAGTTTATACGGATCATAGGCTTGTCCGGGTCCGTGTAAACTTAGATAAGCCTAGGGCTAGACTAGCTGGTTACTGGAAATTTAACTGTTCACTATTTGGTGAGCAGGGTTTCCGGGACCAGCTGCTACTAATCATTCAGAGGGAATTGATGGGGCGGTTGTGGGAAACGCCTGGTGGGGCAAATTAAAATCCAAAATTAGAACGTTTGCTGCCGATTTTAGTCGTCGACTCAATCTAGATAGATTAGCGGCGCAAACGGCTTTAGAAGAAAAAGTTGATCGGGCCGTGAAATCCCGTGTTAGTGAGGACATAGTCGTAGCTTATGCAGAGTTGTCCTCCTTGCTTATCAAGAAGGATCAAGCTCTGGTAGTTAGGGCTAGGCTAAAAAGAATGTCTTCTGAGGTGACGAACATGGCCGCTGAACTGCGTGCAGAGGAGAATAGGAACGCGTCTAAGCGATATATAGCGGCTGTCACATTGCCGGATAAGCGGACCGTGACTACAAACGCGGGTATATGCGAGGCATTTCGGGTTTACTTTCAGGATCTTTTCACCAGGGAGCCCGGTCTGAGCTCTGCTCAGTTCGACGCCTATTTAGCTGACTTTCCCTGCCTTGAGGCAGCTGAAGCGGCTAGGTGCGAGGGTCCCATAACAGAGTCGGAAATCTGGGAAGCGCTGAAGCAGGTTGGCCTGGATAAGTCTCCGGGACTAGATGGTCTTCCCTACGAAGTGTACTTGAGGCTGTCGCCCATTTTTGTTCCTTTGCTGCAGCTGATTTTCAACCACTGGATGAAGCAGGGGTCTTTACCTCAACGCTTCACCAGGGGTGTGATCAAGTTGCTGCGTAAGGACAAGAACGGTGGGGATGGGTTAGGGAACTTTCGCCCTTTCGCGATGTTAAATACGGTGCGCTGGTGGAAGTGAATGGGGTAAGATCGAAGCCTTTCGTATTGTCTCGCTCCATTCGTCAAGGTTGTCCGCTATCGCCTATGCTTTACGTTCTTGCGTTGGAACCATTCCTTCACAAGTTAAAGGCGAATCCGGTCCTGCGCGGAATTTCGCTGCCTGGTGCTTCCACCTCGGCCAGGTATTCTGCCTATGCTGACGACGTTTCGGTTCTTGTGTCGAGCAGAGCCGAGATTAACGAAGTCAGCAAGGAGATCAGTGGGTATGAGATGGTAACAGGGGCCATGATCAACCGCGATAAGTCTGTTGGCTTGCGGTTGGGTGCGTGGAAGGGAGTTTCTCTTCCCGGACCTTTCCTCTGGACGGATGGGCCGATCAAGATACTCGGCGTCTGGTTCGGTACTGATCTCCAGTTGGAAATGAATTGGTCGGAGGTACAAGGGAAGGCCGAGGTCGCGGTTAATCTGTGGTCTCGTGGGAGACTTTCCCTGAAGGGAAGGGCGGAAGTATGTGTTTCACACATATATCCAATTCTCCTGTACCGACTCTCTGTGCTTCCACTCCCGTATGCCCGACTAATGTCATTAGTCAAGGTCTTGTTCTCTTTCTTGTGGAGAGACAAGGCCCATATGGTATGTCGCGAGATCTGTTGCCTTCATCCCTCGGAGGGCGGTCTGGGTATGCCTAGTATTGAGATTCGTCAATATATGCTTCGCATCACCTTTCTAGACCGAATGTGTCGCGGGTCGGATGCGGAGGGTGCCTTTTGGAAAGAAGACGTCCAGAAACATTTCCCGTCGCTGAGAAGTGTGCACTCGTACGAAGAAGAGGCCGGCCGTACACCACGTGCCGAGTGCTCCTTCTATCGTGAATGTCGTCGCGCTCTGAAGCTCC